TTTGAAGACTCAACGGCAAAGTAGAAATTCAACGGCTTGTCCTAAATCATCCCTACACCGTGTGCCAGAGATTCCTGATAGAAGGAAAATGTTTCTATTATAAAAAAAAAAAAACAAGAAAGAGCGAGAAGATAATTTATAAACACCCAGCCGAGTGCAGATTTATTAGAGAAACTCAAGTTGAGGACAAAACTCCGCTTGCCGCCCGCATTAGGTTCTGCGGGAAGAGAGAGGCGCGTCTGGGGTGGCTTTGAGGGGCTGGAGCGGGGGTGTCTATTTCTCAGCACAGGTTTGTTGGGGTGAGGGGGTGCCAAGAATCCGGCTGGATTGGGAAGAAAAGGGGAGATTCAAAATAGCAAGGGCTGTGGGCGGACAGAAGGCAGGTTTCAGAGAGAAGTGTACCCAGGCTCCCAGGATCAAATCGCAGGACCCCGCCGCCCACATTTGCAGGGGCCGGCTCCTTGGGGCGCGCAGAGAGGAGCTGGGCTCCCACCTGGAGCCGCGGAAAGTGGGGAGACGCTAAAACAACCCCGCTCCTGCTTCCTGCTGCGACGCCTGCTCCAGAACCCACCCGGAGGATGCGAGGCTTTTGGGCAGGCCCAAGTTGAGGTGCACAGAGCACCCCGAGGAGGATATGGCCGAGCCTCGCTGCACCTCGCCGTTCTGGGGACCCCCTGTTCGATGTCCGGGTTGCCCAGCACAGTTCAGCTCTCGATGCTCACAAAGGCCGCCGGTGCAGAGCGCCCCACCAGCTCTGAGCAGCTCCCAGTCTGCGGGAAAACCCCCAAATCTGGGGGCCCCCAGGCGCCTCCTCCAGCGCATCTCAGCAGCCGGCTTGGGCAGTCTCTCCCAGAGACCAGCCCGGCTCACCTGACCCGCTCAGCGGCCACATTCCTCTTGACCACTCCTAGGAAAAATATCCTCCTTTATGAACCAATTCCTCTCTTTTATTCGAGCCTATTATTCCTATTATTATGATGATTCCTCGTTTTCATGTATTTGTTGTCCCCACTGAACACTGTGAGCGCTGAGATCTCGCCTGGAAACTCAGAAAATTGATTGCTGGGGCGGGGAGGGGGGATGGATGACTATATCGGAAATCTATAAAATGGGGGAAACAGCCATAATAAACCCAGTATTTTTATTACGTCCAAATTATTCATGACTTTTGGTACCGCTCAGTTCACGGATGCACCGACTAAGGGGCAGCGTGCAGCCGCGGAAATTCGCAGCGGCCGCACCGGGGATTTTCGCGTGGAGCAAGGGTGCCATCTAGCGGCCGCGCCTTGAAAAGGCGCCGCCGTCCTCCGCGTCCAGGCCTGGTTCTCGCAGAACAACTCACTGAGGCAACAAGAGAGAGAAACTTTCATTATTAGGGGATTCAAAGCGGAGGCGGGGAAGGAACAAGAGAGCAGGCGAGGGGAAAAAAGGCATTGGAATTAAGAAACGGTTCATGAAATTTTGCAGATAAGCTAAAAAAAGGGAGGAAGGGGGAGGGAGAGGAAAAAAGAAGCCATAAGCTTTTTTTCCTTATTTACGCACTCACCCCGCCCCCCCCCCGCCCAATCTCCTAATTTTGCCTGAGACCGCCAAGCAGCGCGCTGTTTATGGCCTGTAAAACGGGGAAATGAGCATTTTCAAGCTTTACATGATTGTTTCAAATTTCGAGGAGAAACAATTAGGCTTTTTTGTGTATGGGGGTGTGAGGAGGAGAGGCCTGAGAGGGTGAGGATGGGCCTGTAAAAGGATCAAGAGGCAGCCCGCGCCCAGACGTCTGGCCCCACTGGACGTGTGTGTGTGTGTGTGTGTGTGTGTGTGTGTGTGTGTGTGTCCCCACGGGCAAGGAGTGGGGCGACTGCTCATTTACAACGCCCCATTCTGGAGGGGGGCATAAAGAACAAAGGCAAGAGTCCCAATTGCAGGCTCTGAAGCATTTGCGACAACAAAGTGTCTCCCGTCCCTCTTCGCCCCCTGTCCCCCTCCCCGGAAGCCCCTAGCCCCGCATCCTGGCCGGATGAAGGTGGGGGCTGGCGGCCCACCCAGGCCCCGCCAGGCCCGGATCCCAGGCCCAGCTGCGCAGCTCTCAGCTCCGGAAAGTTTCCCCTCTCGCTGTTTGCTTTGCTGCTGTTTAGTTTCTTAACCTTCAGAAATTTATACGCTATAAACTTTTATAGCGGTCATATTCTTTTATTGCTGCGCACACGGCAGGCATTGAATTCGTCTCCCCCGGTTTCTCTGTCTCTCGCACCCTCGGCGAATCTCCTCTGTGATAACCGGTTTCCCCATCTCCGGCTGCTTTCGGAGCCTCCGCTTCCTCGCCGCCTTTGTTTGTCTTAAAGAAGCCACCCTGGGGCTGGGGACTCAGACGCCGCCGCTGGAGGCCTCGCCCCCCTACCCGGCTGCACGTCTCGCCTTTTGCCTTTCCTTTCGTTGAATCCAGCCGCCTCGCCTCGTGCTCAGCGCCAGCTGGGCCTGGGGAGCCCAAGATGTGGCGAGAATCTAGTCTGTACAGTCACCACCCTCCCGGGGCCTCTTCATGTCCTTAAGAGAACCCTCCCGAAAGGTGCGGATCCGGGGATCTGAGGGTCATCCCACCCGGGGGCCTGACTTCTCCAGTAAGCTCTCTGCTCAGTGCATCCTTTCGTTCCAGGGGGGTAGGCCTTGCTTTTTACCATTTCTAAGGTGCTCTCTGGGGCCAGGCTTTGCCCCCACTTTTACCCATCCTGCAGGGGCTCTACCTGAGGTGGGCTGGGGGAAGGCTGGCGGGTGAAGGAACAGGCTTGCCCACCACAGCAGAGGTGGGATCCCACTGCCTGGGCGAGAAACGCAGTCCCCACAAAGGGCTCAGCCCGGATACACAGGCTGACAGGGACAGAGGAACACCTTAGGAAATTAAGTTTAATTTGGGGTCTGATTGAAAAGGGCACCTTTCCTCTCTGTTCCTCACCCAAGCCCTTCTCCTGGCCTTTGCAAACTGCCTCCCAGGTCTCGGCCCTCCAACTTACCAAACTGCCTCAAACTGGAGCCTCCAAATGGAAATGGAAGCTGAGCATCTGATGAAAGTCATTCCCTTTAAGAAGCCCAGAGGAGGTCCTGCTCTCTCCAGGCCTCAGCATACGGACAGCTGCCCAGGGAGGTCACTGTCTTCCTGGCATTTTAGTTCCCAAAGCAAGGTGATCTTCCTCTGCCCTCTGAGAGAGGAACTGCTTCTAGGAACAGGTCTTTCCTTCGACCGGGAGTGGGTGAGGAGGTCTCCAGTACAACTTTTGGAGGGTGCCCACACCCTCCCACAAACATCACAGAAGTGCCCTGTTCCCATTCTACCCCTACGGTCTCCCTGCTGTCCTGACTGACGCTCTTAATGTGAGTAGTGACCGCAGGGCCTTGGGTCTGAGACCCTGGGGCCACAGAACCAGCTCTCTGCTCTCCCACCAAAGCCACCCAGCTGATCTCAGGAGGCACCTCTTTCCCCACCTAGGTGTCTCTCTCTCCTGAGCTGTGCTCCTAGAAATTGGAAGCCCGACCCAGAATAAAACACGAGATTTCTTTTCTAGAGTGATATATATTTTTGTTCTTTTTTCTTATTTTTTTTTTCCAAAATGAACAATCAAAGATCTAGGTCTCTCATTTTACCCACATCCCCCCACCCCCACCCCTCCCAAATAGGCGATGACGGAAAACAGGCGAGACAATCACCCCCCAAAAAAGTCACAAAACACAAGCACAATTTCACGACAGCCACCAACAAAGCGAAAAAGTTCTACTGAGATGCCTGGAGAGTCCATGGGATTGGGGGACCGGAGAGGTGGGGGTACAAGGGGAGGAGGGCAAACCCAGTAAACTTCATTCCGAGGCTTAGACTCCATTCTGCCCCCCTCTCCTTTGCACGCGGGAATGTCCCTGGGAAGAAAGCAAATCACCATCCAGGTCAGGGGCCCTGGAAGGCAGAGGCCCGCCTTTGGGGGTGCTGGTCCGCTGTTCTGTGCTGGAGCTGGAGGCCGCGAGTGATGAGCAGGGGGCCAGGAACAACGTGCCTGCTTTGGGCGCTGCTGGCGCCTCGGCTCCTCTGTTCCCGGCAAAGTCCCTGGGAATGGAGCTCGGGAAATCGATCCACAATAAATTCTCAATCACACAATAAATTCTCAATCGGACTCTCCTGGCCTAGCCTTCCTGCCAGCAGCGGGGTGGGGGGCGAAACGCTGTTTTCCTACACAGGGTGGCGTCACTGGCTGGTGCTGGGTGGATTTGGCCCCACAGAAAGAACTGGGGGTCTGGGGAGAACTGAGGGAATTGCAGGGGTGTCAGAGAGGAGGAGAAGCCACAGTCTGTCAAGTGGGACAAGGATGAGCAAGAGCAGGACATGGCCAAGGTTCCAGGACCCACTGTGGGGGGGCCCCCTTTTGTTGAAGGAGAGGGAAGCCTCCTGCAGAGTTAACCATTTCCTGTAACTCTATGTGTTGAGGGGAAAGCCCCCTTTCTTTGCCTTTCCTGGTCCACCTGCCTTAGAGGCTGGGTGTCCCCCACAGGCCTGTGGGCCTGTGTCCCTGGCAGTAGCTGGAGAGCCTGAGGGGATGGCCCTGTGAGGCTCAATCCTTTGGACTAATCTACCCCCACTCAGAAGATTGCCTTTAAACATCTTCCTGGGGTGCACCAGGTATAGAACCCTGGCTTGCCTGGCTTGGGGTGCCCCAGGCCTGAGGTGTCAGCCTTTGGGGGTATTACTTCATCTAAGTGAAGTGTCAGCTGGTTCATTCCTCACTTTTACTGTGGGCTCCTGGCTTTGTGGACACTGGTGTCTGGTGGTCTGGCTGCAGTTGGGAGTGGTCCTGGGGTGACCTCTGGGTAAGTGCAGGGACGGAAAAAACAAGCAGGAAGTGAGGTGCTGCTCCCAGAAAAACTAAGGGAAGGTGCTAAGGACTGACTATGGCCTCTCTTTTTGGTGGCCCATTATCTTCTTAGTAACCTTCTACTTCTACCTTCTAACTCAGCAAAACTTCCTCCTGAGGCCACGGGAGAAGAGAGAAACAGGTGCGGGCAGCGGGGGAGAGACTGCAGAGAAGGACCTGGACAAGAAAAGACTCCTTCCCCATTCACTGACTCCATCTGGGACAGCACTGGCTTTGCAGCCACCGCTTATAAATATGAGTGAGATGGGGAAGAGGTGGGCGGGCTGAGGGGAAATCTTTACTCCTTGCCCTGCTCCTTATTCATTTTCTTCATTTTCATCCGCCGGTTCTGAAACCAGATTTTGACTTGTCTCTCACTCAGATTGAGGAGTCTGGCCACTTCGTGCCTACGGTCCCTGGTGAGGTACATATTGAACAGAAACTCCTTCTCTAGCTCCAGCGTCTGGTATTTGGTGTAGGGACAGCGCTTTTTCCGGGAAGAGCGGGCGTGCAGCCAGTTGGCAGAGGGGTTGGCTGAAAGAGAAGCAGCAGAATCAAAGAAAGAAAGGGGGGGGGGGGGGGGGTCAAGGGACTCCAGGGTTATACTTCTAAGAGGATGTGACCCTGGCCTCCACTTCCCCATGGCACATTAGAAAAGTAGGAACCTGGGGCCTCCAAGCTCCCATGAGGGGTTTCAGACTAGCAAGTGGCCACAGGCATCTCCAGGTGAGACAGAGGTTCTTTGGAGAGGATGGTGGGTCCCTGGGCACTGCCAAAGTCTGGCATGTTCAATCTTTCTCTCTTCCTGGATTCACATCTGGTCTCAGATCCAAGCCAGCATGAAGCCCCAGCACTGCCAGACTGGTCAGGGATGGCTGACCTACAGATCCTCTTGGCTCTAAGTCTTGGAGTTGAGAGGAGAGGCTGAGCATGCTTCCGTTCAGCCACAACCTAGAGACCTCCCATCAGCCCGGCCTAGAGCACAAGCTTGCCTCCCTGGGCCACACCACATGGCAGCAGGCATGTGTGTCTGGGTAGATACCCCTCCCTACCACCACTGCCGCACACTCCCAGCGTATATGGATCTGCACTTAGAGACGCAAACATACAGCACACTCCAATTCACATGCAAGCCAATTGCAACCATTTATCACCTCCAGCCTGTGGACAGGGAAGCGCCTGGGGCTCACAGCTAACTTATGGTTGCAATCGTCTTCCTTTTCCGCTCCCGCCCTGCTTTCAGTCTGTTTGGGGGAGTGAGATCACTCCAGTCTCAAGGTGGAAAACCAGGCATTATGAAGGGCCCCAAGTGGGAGAGTAAGACAGGGTCGGTGGGGTGGGGAAAAGGAGGAAGCAGAAATCTTTGCCAGCTTCTACCTCTCTCTAGAACTCAGAAAACTCTGATTTCTAACAACAGTCACTCTGCTGGATTCCATCTTCCCAAACAGAAAGCTGTGGATATTTTTTAAAAAACAAAAACCACAACACATACAAAACCCCCTCCTACCTCAAAACAGAGTTAGTCCTACACTAAGGACTGTGTCTTACCAATTTGCAGTGAGATTTCCTTAATGTGACTGCCTGGGATGGGCCCCGCCGCCACATTAAATATGAAAAGGGAGGGGGAAACAGTTAATTATTGATCTCGGCCAAACTTCTGCCTTGTGAAAATGTGCTTTCCAGGCATGGTTTGGGGTACCGGTCTAGTCTGGTCTAGTGAGCCTGAGGAGGGTTTGGGAAGAGTCAAGTTCCATAAAGCCAAATCTGATTCAACCCGGCAGGTTGGAGGTGGCTGGCGGCTAGGGCACAGGAGTCTCACCCTCCCGCAGACACCCAGACCCCAAAGTGCTCCCAGGCCACAGAGGCAGTGGGAAATCTGGAGGAGGAAGCAGAATATCTGAACCCCACTTCCCAAGAAGAGTAAAGAGACCTGGCCCGAAGGGCCTGGGGCTTATTTGGGACCAAGAGTCTCCTAACCAACTGCTCTTCTCCAACCCTAAAAAAACGAAAAAGAAAACCCGAGGCGTCTGCCTTCAGCGAGGGCACCACCTCCTGGAAATTAGCCAGACTGGGAGTCCTGGCCAGGGGTGCTTCTGCGGGAGTGGGAGGTGATGAGAAACTGCCTGCGGAGGGGAAAGTTCTGCGCCTCTCACAGAGCCCCGCTTCCCCCACCCTCATCTCCCCAGGGCCCCACCGGATCTCGCCTTCTCCTTTCGGGCGGCGGGTCCCGAAGTTCACACGCGACTCCCAAGTCCTGGCGAGGCGGACAGCTCCAACCGCAGCCCGGGAGCCCCGCCGAGAGCAGCACGGGCTGCAGGAAAGGCGGTGGCGACCCGGGGCGAGGATGCTGCTGAGGGGAGGGGACCTCCGGCGGGTAGGGAAGCCTCCGGGGAGGGGCCGGCGCGCCGGGGAGGGGGCTCGGCCTCCACGTCCCGGATCTCCCCCGCCCTCCCGGCGCCCGCTCCCGACCCCGCGCGGCCGCAGAACCAGCCTCCGCCAAGCTGTTGCATCGCAAATAAAATCCTAATGAGCCCCCCCACCCCCGGAGGCTGGCGGGCTGCGCGTGGCGCGGGGAGCGGTGCCAGCGGCCGGGTCCCTGCGTCCCTCCGCGGCGCGCTGCAGCTGCCCTGGCGCGCCAGCTCCTCGCCCCGCCGGCCGCGGCCACTTCCCGGGCTTTCCGCCCGGACTGCGGGGACAGAGGAGCAGAGAGGGCGAGCGCGCAGCGCCTGAGCCCCTGCGCCCTCCAGGACGCGCGGTCAAGTGGTGAGAGCAACGCTCGGCCAGCAGCCTCAGTCTCCCTTTCCCGGGCTCCCAGCTTCCGTCCGCCCGTCCTTCCTTCTTCCTCGCTCCTCCCCCGAACGCTCTCGGCCCCGCTGCGGTTTCCCTGCACATTGTCTGCGGTTTATTGCCTCTGCCCTCCCCTCCCCCAGCCTGGCCTTCGGCCCGGGTATTTCCTCACTTTTTATAACTTACTTTGATCCGGCCTCTCTTTGTCCTCGCTTCCTTCGCAAATTTTATTGTCCCCGTAGCCGGCTCTTTGATTAGACAGCACGGCCTCCCGGGCCGCCGAAGTTTCCAAACTGTACTCGGCCGCGCCCTGCTTGAGCAGCTCCCCAGGCGCGCCCAGCAGCGGCTCCGCCTTCACGGCCGCCTGGCCCTGCCCCGGGGCGGCCTCGGCGCGCGGCGCGGGCTCCAGCCAGGTGCGGAGGTACCTGCCCTCGGCCGCCGGCACGCCCTGGGGCTGCAGGTAGGGGTGGTAGACTGCCGGCAGGCTCCCGGACGCGTGCGGGCTCAGCGGCGCCCAGGACGCGCCGAACACCGGCGCTTTGGGCTGGAAGCTGCACGAGGGAAAGTCCAGGTGCTCGGCGGGGCCCGGCTGCCGCGGGCTCGCGTACTGGCCGGAAGGAAACTTGGCTGGAGGCGCGTCCTCACTCTCGTGACTTATGATCGAGTCGACATAATAGCTGCTAAGCGTCCCAGAAATGGACATTCTCAGACATTATCCGGGCGCTCGCAGGGGGAAGGGAAGCGCTCGCGCGCCGGCGCCCAGGCAGGGAGAGGTGGCACCCGGACCCGGTGTGAGGGCTTTCGGACGCGACCCCCAGGACCCCCACCCTCCCGCCCCCACCCCTTGTTCAACTTCTCAGCCAACAAAGTACAGTGGAGCAGCCCGGCTCGGCGCTCCTTGCAAAATGATTGGTCAAAGTTTTTCCGACTGCCTGATAAAGCGTCAGCTCGGACATAAATCAATCGGGCGAGGGGGCTGCGCTCTCGCTGTCATCCGTCCGCAGCGCATTCCATATCGAGGATGGATTGTTTTATGCTGATGCAATGTGCGATCACGTCAGGGCTCCGGCGGCCACGTAACCTCAGCCCGAGCTGCCGGCCGCCTGGTCCTCCCCCTTCGTGGGGCGGGGGGAGCTCTCCACATGGGGCGGCGGGGGCGGAGGGAGAGCAGCGGCCGCCGCGGAGGGACGCGGGCTGTGGAGCCCTGTCCCCAGGCGGGTCGCAGAGGGAGGGAGTCAGGAAGAGCCAGAGGAGGGAGGGCGTCTTAGCCTGGGGAGGCTCTACGGGCTGATAAAAAGAAGGCGGTCCTGCCCCCCCCATCCTACAGGCCCTTATTTCCTCTCCTTGTCCCTTTGACAGAAGGTGTTTATTAAACAACGACACCAGGAACAATCCATTGAAGTAGTAAAAGGACAGGGACAAGTTGAGATTTGATAGCACAGTTATCAGCTTTGGGGGTGCTCTCTGCACACTGTTTGGGGAAGACTGCAGGCTCAGGGTCTCACCTTGTCTCCTGAGGCCTGACAGGGAGGGAGTGTTTGAGGACCCACATTCTGTGCTTGGGAACCTGCAGGAGGTTAAAGGCGTTCATCAGGCCCTAGAAACTTGAGCCTTTGGAAAGAGTTTAATCCATTTTTGGGGGCCTCTCTCTGGCCTTATCCAGAGAGCTAAGAGTGGTGTTAGATAAAGCCATTTCTTCTGTAAGTAACCACTTGGGCAGCTAAAATTTAGGCCAGCTTGATAATAGTTGAGGTGACCATGAAGGCTTTTAGGGAGTTGCTCTGAGCTGTCACTGAGAGTGGAGGCCTGGGAAGGGTTTCCAAATTGGGTGTGGGGTGGGTTTTTTCCTGCTTCCAAGCTTCCCAATACACCTCTCACCCCCAAGAGGAGGGGAACTGAGAGTTTTCCGCTCAACTCTCTGTTCTCACACTGGGGATTGCCCCTTTTCTGAAATGACTCCCAAGGACTGGCCCCAAGGACAAGGAGCCCGCAGGCTCACAGGCTCTCCGAGGACCCCCTCACTGCAGCTCCCAAGTATCCGGTTTGATCCGCGACTTCTCTGCAGCCCCTCCTGTCTCGGCTCCCTGCGCTTTTCCCCCAGAGCCTCCCTGAGCCACAGCCTTTGTGACACCCGCTACTCTAGGGGGCTTGGCTCCTGCACAGACTCGGTTCTGCTTGTGTTCGGTGGGCTTCGGGGCGGCTGAGGGCTGATCTTCGGCATGGTTTTCAGGCTGCCTTCAGCCCGGGCCTAATCCCCAGCGTAGTCCTTGTAACAAAGCCGGGGCCATTCTAACTTGGGGCTTCGTCTTTTGGGTCACAACCCTCGGGCCATGCAGAGGACTGCGGATCACCTCACCCCCGCACTGACACATTCCCACCCGCTTTTCTTTCCAAATGAAGCCATCTCTGTCATTACGTGTGAAATACGAGGGCGAAGCGCCATATTTCTTCACATTATGGCGATTTCAAAATGATTTTTTAAAGATCAATGCCGGCTTCCAGCCGGCCCCCTCCTCCTCCACCCCCGCTCTCCAAGGGCGACAGCCTGGCAGATCCGGAACCAAACAGCGTGAAAAGGGCTGCCTTTTCCATGAGACCCAAGTAGGGAAACAAGAATATGATGCAAACGTTCCTAAGTAGCAGTTGGACTCTTGGGAAAGTCAGGGAGCTGCCCCAGCGAGAGAACAGCACACCCAGCGAATGAATCACAGTTAAAGCAAAGCACCTGCTCTCCATTTGCCAGACGTATGAAGTCTGCTGTCGGCTTTACCTGTAATAAATATATTCTTTAGGAAAAAAAAAAATAAACCCAACTCTCCCCTGCCATAAATAACGGGGTTCTGAAGCATGGCGAGCTGGGTGTATGATTTTCTGTAGTATATAAATTAGGGCCCAAAAGGACGTTTGGACTGTAGGCTGGGGCTTTTTTATTTATGAGGAAAGTCATAGCGCTGGGCGTTGAGGACAAGGGCTGGGCAGGCACTGGACGCCTCAGTGGCCTCCTGGCTCCCGTCCTTGTGTCTGCCCAGCTGCTTCACTCTGCTACAGGACGTTCAGGAGGGTCACTTCATCTAGGGAAGCAGTTCACACTTGGGGTCATTCATTATTTGTGGTTTACAAGAGGGAAAAGTCCCAGAAGATAGTTTTCTCGGCTTGGAGTGGCTGACCACCTGGGGAGTTGCCCCAGTCACTGGTGGCCCCTGGGTACTGGGCAGGGGGAACGCAGCTCTACTTTCTGGGACCAAACTTTAAACTACTCACAAAGACATTAGAGAGTGGGGGCAATTTAAAATAATTGGCTTGGAAAAGGAAGCGATCACTTTGGGGGGGAAAGAAAATGAACCCTCCCAGAGATTGCACTGCAGGGTCAGTGTCCTCAGATGGGGAGGCAGATGAACCAAGTAAGGAGGCTCAGCCCTGGCCAGCCTGTCTAAAAAGGATTGTTGCACCAAATCGGAGCACCGCTCTAAGTCTGCTGAGAAGGGGTCCCTTGCTTGTGCTCTGCCAGCCTGTCGACCCCCCCCCCAAAGACTTTTTCTCCCCAGATGATGCTACTCATCTTGAAGGAGAGGAGCAAACATGACTGTGGCTCCTGGAGGCCAGTTTCAACAGATGCATAAATAGAAGGATCACTTCAGTGAGAAGTTACTTTATCCAGAGAGGCCAAAACGGCACCCTACCCCACCCTGAATCCTAAAGAGGAAATAAGGGTAACCCTGCCTTCCCTGGCATCCTTTTGCCATTTCCTGTGCAAGAGCTGCTCCCAAACACAGCTGGAGCTAGTAGCTCAGGGAAGGCAGGCAGGGAAAACCAACCGCAGTGCCTAGCCACACTGGGGTCCAAATCAGCCACGAGAAGAACCCAGAGGACGCGGAGGTGAGGACAGAAGGCTGACTCTAGGCGAAACCATCCGGTGAGTCTCTGTGCCTTGGGGATGGCTTTTGGAAAGGCCCTTATGTTCTTATTAGTGTTCAAGAAGAGACAAGCCAGAGGAAAAGAAGGAAATGAAAAAAGGGGAAGAAAGAGAACAATGAGAGAAAGGGGGAAATAGTTTTTGGTTCACTAGTAAGTTAGCCTGAAATTTAAGCAAACTGTATTTAAATACATGTATCCTGTGCGTATATTTTAGATCAACATTTACAAAGATTTCTGTTTACAAAGGTGCTGTCCTCTATACTATTAATAGCATACAGAATAAACAAACCTATAATACTGGCTGCGCTTGAATCTTTGTAAGATCTAATCATGTGGATGTATATATAACATGTATGTAATGTCAATATACAAGTCAGTTCATATAAGATCTAGAACGTGAAAGTTATCTATATATTTTTATAATCATCACACTCGAATGGAAAGGGCAAAAACTTTCTATTTATGTACTTGAACTATAAAATATTAGAGCTTCTTGACAATATGCCCATGATAAGGAAGTGGAATATGTGCTATATGTGAGCAAACTAACCTATGGGATTAAACCTTGATCCTGCCACAATCTCCTTCCAAAACCTTTCTCTGAAATGAAGGAAATGTCTGATTGACTCACGAAATTTGGTGACTTTTTCACCAAATTATTGGAAATGAAATCCAATACTGCAAATTCTTGGCCAAACTGCACGGACAATGTTCGACCTGTAAGAATTTCCTGGTAGTAAAGGGCACGGGGTGGGGGTGGGGGCACATTTCTTACTTATGCATGTGGCCTGCACAAATGTGGGGCAGAGACGGACAGAGGGAGTCCGAAAGACGAAGTATGAAAGCCGTGTACAAACCACAAAGATCATGCACAAACACCGTTATGTACAACAAAATGAGAAAGTCCCCAGGCCCTCAGAGGTGTTCCTTTTGATCCAGGATTAGATCCAGACCCACTCTCAAAACTTGTCTTATGGGGAGGAATGAGAAGCCCCGAAAACTCTCCATGAGTTATGTAAAAAAAGCCCCCCCAAACAGATACTACATCGAATCTGCACATATGGGTTTGATTCTTGGTGCTCCCACAGCCCCTGAGTGAGGGACATCACTGTAAAGTAATGAAATGCTCTGTCAGAGATCCCTCCCAAGATGTCCCAACTTTGTCTGCTCGAGGTCAGAGCTGAACGGAAGGATGGAGAGGAGAGTCAGGGTGCCAAGCAGACCTTGAGATCTTCTTACCAACTCAGCCACCAGGGATCTTGAAGCAGTGCTGGTGGCTGACTTCTTGGGAGGGGGGTATCCAGGAGGCCAAACGGGGTGGGGTGGGCAGCAGGCGGGGCAGAACTGAGCCGGGCAGGTAGAAGGTTATTCCGGAATTGCTTCCATAAAACCTGTGAGTGTTGTAAAACTCTCTGCTTTCCAAAGACTTTATTTCCCCTTTTCTCTCTAACATCCCCCTTTTTTTCTTTTTACAGCACTTTTCCTGGGAGGGGGTGATGGCCAAGGGATGCCAAGTGTGGAAGACAGTCAGGCCTTTCCCGGTGCTTGGGCAGGTTTAGGAGAGGCCCAGGAAGAGACAAGGTAAGGCAGTAGGGCCCAGATGGGGCTGTAGTCACAAAGGGGGCCAAGAGGACTCCCAGAACTGCATTGTTGGTGGCTTTGCTCATCAGGACAGTGGGTGGAAGGCTACCTTCCCCCCAGGGATCTGGATTTCCCTAAGTGCCCCTCCACCCTAGCAGAAACCCCTTTTGCCCTCCCAGTTAGCCTGTCTCCTGAGCCTCATCCTGTCCTGCGGGCCTCTTTCCACATTTCCTCTGCCTTAAGCAAGGCGGAAAATTTGGGAACAAAAGTCAGCTTATGCTTCTGAACTTC